AAACCCAAACCCTAAACCCTTAACCCTAAACCCGAAACCCTAAATCCCAAAAGCCCTAAACCCCCTAAGCCCTAAGAGCAACCCAGGTGGTGGCCCTTGAGGTGCTCAACGAACCCGTCCTTGGCGGCCTGCCCAGCTGGCGCCTTCATCATCGTTGGGTAACCTTGTTAGGGTTTAGAGTTTAGGGTTTAGGGTTAAGGGTTTGGGGTTTAGGGTTTAGGGGCTTAGGGTTTAGGGTTTAGGGCTTTACATTTTCATGGGTATTCAAACGCAATAAGGAACAAAATGTGAATATTGAAAACTATCATGACCATGAACTAGGTACCAGTTTCTGACGAATCGCCGGAATCTCTTTGACCTCTACGCGTCAGTGCCCGGGCGGCATTTTGATTTCCTTGTGGTCCCATGGAGTACCTATTCAAAACTATTGTTTGAATATTCCGAGACCCTGCAACCCTAAATCCTAAATCCACAAATTCTAAATCCTAAACCCCAAGCCCTAAATTGTAACCCTAAGCCCTAAACCCTAAACCCTAAACCCTAAATCCTAAGCCCTAAATTGCAACCCAGGTGCTGGAGGAGCTGGGAAAAATCGAGCCTCCCATCCGCACCCCACTGGCGCTTCAGGACGGATTTGGCTCCCTTGCACGTGCCTGGGTTGTCTTGGATAAGGGAGTTCAGGGTTCAAGGTTTAGGGTTTAGGGTTTAGGATTTAGGGTTCATGGTTTAGGGTTTAGGGTTTAGGGTTCAGAGTTTAGGGTTTAGGGTTTAGGGTCTATTCTAGGGTTTCGGGTTTAAGCTTCCGAAAAAGGAAAGCCATATGACTCAGTCTTAATCCGGGTTGTGGTGGCCTGAATTGAACTCCTTGACATCAAAGCCCTTAATATAGGGGCCTTAATAATTCAATGCAGTGTTTCGGGGGTTCCTTATCATAATTGTAGCATAAAGGAGCCCAGCCCCAGAGATGAGTTCGTGAGCGACAACCCCACCCTAAACCCTAAACCTCTGTCCTTGATGTAACCCAGAGACTCCAATACCCCTTAATCAAGGAATATACCTTAACTCATATTAGGGATCCTACTACAATTTAAGGTATATTCCTCAATTAAGGGGTATTGGAGTTGGAGTCACTGGGAAGTCCTCACATTATCTCCTTGTAGTCGCCATCTGAATATACTGGAATGTACCCGAATGCCTTGTTCTGTTCATTCGGGAGCCTTGGAAAAATCCTAAACCCTAAACCCTAAACCCTACAACCTTCAAACATAAATACTAAACCCTAAACCCCAAACCCTAAACCCTCAACCTTAAATACTAAACCCTAAACCCTAAATACTAAACCCTAAACCCTAAATACAAAACCCTAAACCCGAAACCGAGCGAGAACCCAGGCGCTTCCTGCCTCATGCGGCTGCTCTCCTGCGTGCCGATCTCGAGCAGGGCAAAGAAGCTGCTGCGCGAGTGGGGGGAGAAGAACCAGCTGATCCTGGGTTGATTTTAGTTTAGGGTTCAGGGTTTAGGGTTTAGGGTTTAGGCCCTAAACCCTAAACCCATATTCAAATTCTGGAGCCTTATCAGGCTCCTGGGCGGCCTTTATATGGATTTTGTACACGGGAGCGAACCAGAACTAAACCCTAAACCCCTAAACCCTGAGCCCTAAACCCCTAAGCTCTGAAACTCTGAAACCCAAACCAACCCTAAACCCTAAACCCTAAACCCTGAACCCTAAACCCCTAAGCTCTGACACTCTGAACCCCTTAAACCCTAAATCCTTCTTAAAAAACCCCTAAACTCTGACACTCTGAAACCCAAACCCAGGATGCTCAGCTTCCACTGGTATCCAGGCCTGGGCTGTTACTCGGCCTCCCGAAAATTTTACGGTTCCGGGTTCAGGGTTCAAGGTTTAGTCCTTAAGGTTGAAGGTTGAGGGTTTAGGGTTTAGGGTTTAGGGTTTAGGCTTCAGGGTTTAGGGTTTAGGGTTTAGGGTTCAGGGTTTAGGGACTGATTTGCTTTTCGCTGAAGTTTTACCTCAGGGGTTGATAAGGGCGTTGTGTAAGATCTGCAAAGGTTGTGATAGGGTTTTATAGGATTTTGTTTTAGGCTTTTCCTTTGTAAGTCTGAACTAGTTGGAAACCCTAAACCGTAAGGCGTAAGAGTACCTCTATTGAGGGGAAGAAAAATAGGGAAACCCTAAACCCTGAACCCTAAACCCCAAACCCTCAACCTTAAATACTAAACCCTAAACTCTGAAGCCTAAATCCTAAACCCTAAACCTTCAACCTTAAATACTAAGCCCTAAACCCTAAACCTTCAACCTTAAAACTAAACTCTAAACCCTAAACCTTCAACCTTAAATACTAAACTCTAAACCCTAAACCCTCAACCTTAAATACTAAACTCTAAACCCTAAACCCTCAACCTTAAATACTAAACCCTAAA